CGTTTTTCCCTTTTTTACCCCTAAATGCACAAATTTCCAAAAATCCTTCCTTAGTGGATTCGTAGGAGTCGATTTTTTATTAATATATTCCAATTTCGATTTTCAAAAAACTACGAGCCAACTATCCGCTTATTTTATAATGAACAACGATAAATATTTAATTTTGGTTGTTACCGAATAATTTCATGTAACCTTTTTACCCTTTAAATATTCGAATTTCCAACAATCCCGTCTTTTGAATTTGTTGGGAGACCAAAGTTATACGATTTTAAAGTATTTTTTAAAACATTTGTTTGTATTTAAGTTAGAGAAATTTCAAAATGCTGTAAAATTGACGGAAATATTTATTTTTTCACTAAAAACTCAAACCTGAAATAGAGAGTATTGAATATAGTGTTTCGATATGCTTTACATATGCCTTCCTTTATATGGTGAATTAATTGTGGGCGATTTTAACTAAATTGCATTATTTGTGAAAAATAAGTTTGTAAATTTTAAAATGTTATCAACACTTTCTCAATACTAATTAGTGAAAACCTTTCTACATTTCATTAATCAAAGAACATATTTGCTCATCACTGTAAACACATTTACCCATCACATTTATATCACACAAAACTTATTATGACAATGACGGTTTATTCTCCAAATTGTCTAGAGCGCATGTCTAAAATACGAAAGGGGCTTCTCGCGTGAGTATACAGACAGAATAGGCCAAAATTAAACCACCCATTCAACAACCCATCCCAAAAAAAATCCTTTGTACATTGTATAGATTTTTATGTTGAATACCATTTTAATGTACATACATACATATATGTATCTATTTATGTATATATGGAAGTATGTATATACATGTATACTTATGTAAGTATATCAAAATTAAAGTGATAGACGCCATTGACAATATAAAAAAAGAAATAAGTTGAGTTAAGAAGAATTCTTGTTGAGAGAGATTTTGTCGAAGGGTATTAAATTTGTCTTTATTCCAATAAAATTTAAAGCTTTTACATATGAATTTAATTTTTTAAAATTTATGTACTATATACATACATACGTACATATTATAAAAAATATATACATAAATTTCTAATTCTAAAGGATCTTGGAGGACATGTGGTCAAGATATTTCCCTACATTTAGTTTTTATTGCGTCACCTTTATTGGAATTTTTTTACCGGATAAATGTTTTAGGCAACTATCAGAACACATTTTGACAAACTAAACTACTTGCAACATTTACTTATTTATTTATTGCAATGTACTTTATAATTTTGGAACAACATATTAAAAAAATAATAATAGAATAATAGAAGTATTTAAAGAATATGTATATTAAAAAATGTTCCGTTTTGTTTATTGCAACAAAAGCATTAACTTCTTTAAGTCGTCTAAGAATAGAAGCCAAAAAAGAATCGATTTGCTTTGGATGGACCTCTTTTTATTGGTATCTACAATTGGTGTTATTGGTCAATCGGTAACAGGGACCTGTGCGGGAGATTGATTAAAATTTATAACTATAATTTTCCCATTTCTTAAAAAAACTAATGCATTTAAAATTTATATTTTTATTATTTGAAATATATTTTGTCTTCTAGAGAAAGAACATTTTTGTATATTTGCCATTTTTTACAGACTTTTTTTGTTTGTATGCTAAATATGTATACATATCTATGTATATATTTTTCTACAAAAACCAGCTATTAAAATAAGCGTTATCAAGTCGTTTGTGCTGAATATGTTAGGCGGGAAAATGTCCAATAACTTTAGTTACAGTTTAGTTAAAAGACATTACAAACAATTATCCGATTGAATCAAAATTACAACATTTTAAACAGTTATGAACAAAATAAAATATATCAATTTTTTAAATCTAAGAATAGGATTGTTCAACTTATTTCAAAAGTATTCATGTATGTACATATATACAAGGGTATTCAATTATTCGGGTTTTTATATTATTCGGTTTATTCGACAAATAATTATTCGAGGTTTTATTCTGACCAATTAATAATCGGATAATTCAAAATTATTCGGTCAATCGATAAAAGGAAACATTATGCTTTTTATTAATTTTGTATCTTTTATACAATATTCTTCTTCCTATAACAAACAAAATTATAATTTTCAACTCCATTGAGTTCGATTCTATGTCAGTTTTCTTATTTTTTAACTAGTTCCAGAATTCATATGTTCTAATGAACTAGTGTACACCTGTACAACAACATTCCTCAAAAGTGTGTATGAAGCCATTCTAGAAGTGAATCAGAACTAATTCTTAAAACGTTTCTAAAGAATTGATATAAAAATCAATAAATAAATTTTCTTCATTATTGAAAAATAATTAAGGAATAATAAAAGCAAGAAAATTTATTATAAATTTTGTAAGTTTTTATAAATCGATTAATTGATAGAAATTATTCGGTTTATTCGATATTTGAAATTTGTCTTTTTTTAATTCATTTGCGATTCGAAACGATTTTTTTTTGTTCGGTTTTTTACAATCAACCCAATCAAATTGGACAAAAGCTAACAGTTTTAATTCCAAGAATTATTGTTTTATAAAGTGTGATTATTCAGCAATTGCAATTTCTACAAACAAACCCTTCCTTTAGTTTTGGGTGTGACTTGTATATTAATATGAACTAATACATACTAATATGTATTAGACCTGTCCTTAAAATTATCTTGTGTTGGATTCTTTTAAACATAAATAAAATGTAAAAATGTGCTTAATAGCGATTCGTTCATTTCATAAATCCATTCAATTACAAATTATATTCTTCATTAACTTATAAAGCATAGTTACGAAGAAAGTCGTTAAAGTCTGAAATAGTTATTTTATAAAATAGGAAAAACTAATATCGAATTGAAATAACTCATACTACGCAGGGCACGTTTAATGTATGTATGTATATATGACTGGATATTAAAACTTAATATAAGTACATATGTATGTAAAATATTTACGATTTACACTGTAAATGTTAATTGAAATGACAACAGCTTGTCAAATAAGAGACAACAAATGACAATTCATTATTATCAGTAACATAAACTACTACGAATTTAATTTGTAATCACAAATAAAGACTTCATTCAACTTATCTTTAAAACGAAATACATATGTACATATACATACTTATATAGTTATATTTATATACATACTACATACATACATACATAAGTATGAAGATATTAATCAGTGACACTTAAGAAACAGCAACAACAACGTTCGTAAGAAAAAATAAAATTAAAAAAATAATAACGTTGACTAAAAACAAAAAATAATATAAAACTAGTACGCCACCATATTTTCTGTACTCAAATCTATTCTACTTCTTGGAGGATTTGGGGATTTTGATCAAACTTTTCTTTATTGAGGATATGTCTCTATATACACACCTGATCGTTACTACTACGAATTTATTATCAGATCATCCACCGAAAGTGTGAAATGTTCGTGTTCATCTTTTTCAAGATAAGGTTGGTTGAGTGTAAATAATTGCAACTAAACTTTGGAAAAATTTGAGGAAGGTTCACTAGATTCCAAAACACAAAAGCGTACATCCATTCGATGACATGTTGAATAATGGATGCACGCTTTTTGTGTTTGACTCTTATCTTTGTGTTGAAGTGTCGATTGATAGTTTTATTTGATTGTTGATAGGTTATCTATCTTAAATAGTATATTTTTCCCAAGCTGAAAAGAGTTTTTTCGTTTTATTTGTAAAAACAACAGTAATAAAACATAAGAGATAATAAATAAGTAAAGTACTTTAAGTAAATTTAATGCAGTTCTGTCCAATGCATTCCCCTAATGCAAAAACGATTGTTGAAGGTCAGTGGTAAAATAATCTGTGTCTGGCAATATGTTAATCGGACCGTTAAAGGACTGGGTACTCACTTAAAGTTCAGGAATTGTAATGCAAACAATTTAGTTCGATTTTATTTTTTTTATAAAGAAGAATTGTTTTTCTTGTTTTATTAAATTTTAACTAAATTTAATTAGTTTCTTTTATGCTAATTATATACGAATTTTAATACAATATTAACAAGTTTATTTTTTTTTATTTTATAGGATTTTAAATATATATTTCATAGATTTTTTGTTTTTTTTTTTAGCTTAGCTTTAAATGTTTTATTTTCATGGTATTATTTTAGTTTTTATTTTCATTAAAAAATGTATGATTAGTTTTAATCTGTTGAATAATAATTGCATATATTTAAATTTTCTGCATTTAATAATAAAAATTTAAAACATTTTTCGTTAATTTGTAAGCTTAAATGTTAATAAAATTTACATATATCGTTAATAATAAAAAAGTACTTCTAGGTTTTTCTCAGTTTATAGACTTTATAATTTTACATACATATTTTATACATTTTCTTGTGACGACCGAAAAAATAATAAAAATCATAATATTCGTAGAAAAAAATAAAGATAAAATGAAATGTACATTTAAATTTATAATTGTTTTGCGGATATAGATTTGAGGATTCATTTTCATTTAGGTTTTTGTTCAGTTTTTGAATTCGATTTTTAATGTGTGAGAATTGTAAGAAAAGAGTTTCTTATACGCATTCAGAATATGGAAATTGCACTTATGTAAATGAATGGTTCGTAGTTCTATATAATCATTTTATAAATTTCAGTGATTGACATTATTTCTAGACCATTGTCTCCGTCTTTGATTTAATTTATTCTTTTTTATCAGTTATACAGGGAATACAATAAAATGTACAAACTCATGGCACGGCTTATATTTTTTTGTTGTTTTAAATCTTTTATTATTAATAAAATATTTGTTATAAAAAATGCTTAAAAACTACATCACTTTTGATTGCTGCTTTAAAAAGTCCAACCGAAAGACTTTTCAAAAAGTTTTAATAAAAAATTATCGTTAATAACAGTTAAAAAATAAAGCAAAAAATAAAATGAAATGAAATAATATAGAAAATAAAAAATAAAAATATAAAAAAATATACTATTTACATGATTTTTTAGTTTTTAAATGTATTTAGCTCTTTGAGATTATTTATGATAATTTTCAAGCATGAAGGTGCCAACAAATGCTAAAAGGCTTCAGCGTATGTGGGACCACATCCGACAGATTTTCATTAAGGGAATATGCCGCCAATAAATGGAGTTACAAGACTGATGTACCTTTTTGAGTCGTTAATTAAAGCGTCTGTTGGTGCGGCTTTGTTGATAATGACGGTGAAAGGTCGATAAAACTTTGTGTGCGTTCTTCTTTCTATGAAGTCATTTGATAAAAGATATTGTTTTGACATAAATATTGGACAACAATTCCATGTTTGAACGTAATTAGGTGGAGAAAAACCGACGTGGTCAATTTGGGATGTCTGTTCGTCGGTTACTGCTATAGTAGATTTTGTAATGCCGCCGCACCATTTAAACTCAACGTATGGTTCCAATTGCGATAGGAAGAGGCAGCTGCAGCATACTGTTGGTAGTTGTTGTAGAGTTGCTGCTGTTGGTGGACTTGTTGCAGATGGTCATCATTAAGATCGCTTGTAATATTGGACGAATCCTCTTGTAAATCACTTGGGGTCAATTGGCTTTGCAGCAAGTTTTGGTGATGATGGTGGTGATGAGCAGCGACCATTTTGCTGTTTAAATATGCCGCCGCTTTGAGTTTTTGGTTGTAAAAGTTAACCGCCGCTGAGGAGGAGGCTGCTGTTGATTGTTGGGTATTCTGTAAATGCTGCTGATGATGTGGCTGGGGCTGGAGTGATGTCGATGTTGCTGGTGATGTTGCTTCATTTTGATTTTGTTGCAAGTGGTGATTGGCACCAGAAAAGATGCTGCTGTTTGTAGTGCATGAGCTTGAGCTTAAAGTCGTGTTTGCACTTGGATTTGCGCTTGAGTTGTTATTACGCAGCATCTGTTCCGCTCTTCCTTAAGCCAATGGGTACTGATGATGTCACAAACTGGTCGTACCGGCTGGTGCATGGTAACCCAAACTTTGGTAGTACGATTCTTGACCCAAGGCAGCATGTGAATTGGTGAGAGGACTTAGAGCATTGTAGCCAGCGTACTGACTCATGTCGTACATCTTAATATCAGCCTTCGATTCAGTGGGTAACAGACGATTAATGGAGAAGGGATGGCTGGGAGGTGCATAGCCAGAGGGCTCCTGCTTTAAATGGTGCATTGAAGAATGATAATCACTAATCAATGATGGATGACATCTATTGACCATGCTTGTAATGCTGGAAAGTTCTTCTTGCTGAAGCTGGTGATGGTGCTGATGATGAGCTGGTGCGTGCTGTGCCTGCTGTCCCAAACATGCTAATTCTGCATTTGCATGTAGCATGGCTAAAGCTTCTGCATCTTTACTGTGAGCCGATCCCAAAGCCCCGCCTAATCCCCCATCTTTATGGTGATGGTGCGACTGATGATGATCAAGTCTACTGTGGTGATGATGATGGTGCATATGATGAGAATCATCGTGGTCTTTTTTCCCTGGTGATGTGGCTTCTAAACTGCTGTGTGAAGGGGATTTATGAAGTTGTCTTATGGCTTCCTTCTTCTCGTCCTTGAAACGTTTTTGCCGCCTTAGGTAACAACCATTTTCGAACATATTTCCAGAATCTGGGTGCAGGGTCCAGAAAGAACCCTTTCCAGGCTTATCTGGAGTGCGGGGAATCTTAACGAAGCAGTCGTTAAAAGACAACGAATGTCTGATGGAGTTTTGCCACCTCTGCTGGTTTTGTCTGTAGAAAGGAAACAGGTCCATAATAAACTGGTAGATTTCGGACAGCGTAAGCATGCGTGTGGGATTGTTTTGTATGGCCATGGTAATGAGAGAAATGTATGAATATGGTGGTTTTGCATGGGTATAACTCCGCCGGTAAGTAGTTGGCTTTTCTACTCGAGATCGGTTGAGGGAATTCGGAGAACCTGCGTCTAATTCTCGAGCACTCGCTGCAGCTGCCATCGACGAATATCCTCCCATCGCTGCCATGGTGGACATTCCACCACCCATACAGTTGCCCATTTGCCCAAGAGGGGATCCCATAGAGGCATAACTCATGCTGCTTGGTGTCATGCAGTTCTGAGCCATGGAATTCATAGCCGCTGCTGCACCCATGGAGCCACCCATGCTTGCTACTGCAGCGGCAGAATCTAAAACACTGGAGCCAAATGTCGCTGCAGTCTGTGGCGATACTGACGACATACCTCCGCCGACCGGCATACTCATGGTGTTCATACTGTATGGAGCTCGTGCTAACGGACTCATATTACCACCATTAGTTCCATTGGCAATATTACTGTTGGTATTTTGAACATTTGTGTTGTTCGATGAATTGTTGCCACCACCTCCTGTATTGTTTCCTCCACCGCCACCTCCAGCCGCACCAGAACCCGACGACTGGCTAGTCATGCTTACGGGTCCGCTAGTCGGCGTCTCCGAATATAACTTTTGCATTATATCGATCGTCGTCTGATGGGGCGATCCCTTAAGGAAACTATTTAAAAGTTGAGCCGTTATGGTGACTATTTTTTAAAACGCGTTATACCGAAAAAAGTCTATTGAAATCAAAATAATAAGAAAAAATAAACGTATTGTTCCACTCGGCTGGAAATTCCAAGAGTGGATTTGTCAGAAATGTATTTATTTTCTTAATTTTTTATATATATATTTTTTTTTAATCTGTAATTTATTTTTTAATTTTATTTTCTTAAAGTTTTTATAATATTGGCTTGATTGCTGCAAGTTTCATTGTTTCTTCAAATTATTTTTTATTGATTCGGTAATGTTGTATTTTTTTACTTTAATCTCTTGCACTTGATTTTATTTATTTTTGTAAATTAGTTTTTTTTGGTTTGTTTTGCACTTTCTTTATTTAATTTTCACTTTTTTGTTTGCTTCTACCGAGATTTGTTTTTTGTTTCGTCGGTTGTTGTTTTGTTTTCTTATTCTTTCTATATTTTCACTATTTGTTTAAATAATTTTTAATATACATAAATAATAAAAAATATGTATATGTATTTATTTATTTATTGTTATTTTTGTATTTATTGAAATAAAACACTAATAAGACGGTTGGTTTGTTGTTTCTTTTAATAAGACCGAACTGTGTTTAATGGAACAATATAATCATATGTAATTACAATTACTATATAATCATAATAATAATAAGAATGAATAGTAATAATGATAATTTGTGTTTCTACAATGCGCTCGAGTACTCTTTGGCTTGAGCTCTTGAATTCGACTGTTTACAGAGGGGAATACTGGCTTACTATTTGGCTTGCTAACAAATATTGTTCAGGCCGTGCTCAAGTGTATGCTCGCTGCGATGTTTAAACGACAATGTGTTATAATAACTTGGGTAGTTCAGTGGAAAGGCAAACGAACGAGATACAACACAAAATACACTACTGCATTCATTAGTAAACACAGATACACACACCAACAAAAAAGAGGACATCATACCCATCGCATGCAACCACCTTTTTCAATTTTTATTCTTCTTCTTTCAATTTCTATCTCTCAGTAAATAAATGTATGTATGTGTGTATTGGCAAGAGATTGACTAACGAGATAACAAACACCAACGGCACCATTGAAACCACCACCATGTTTGTTAGTGCACAGAAAGAGATGACTATAGTTGTATCTCTCCATCTGACTCATTCTAACACTACCATCATCATTATCAGTTCTCAGAGAGCAAAAAACAATGTATGTATGTGTGATTATACCTGTACAACACAAGCGCATGCGTATTGAGTTCAAATTTCTCGTGAGGTTCAACCAACGGGAACTAGTCATTAAACGGGAGGAGCCCCGATACGACACGCCTCCCCTTATACTTGCTGTTATTTTCATCAGTGTTGTTCTTGTCGTTGTTATATTCGGTATCCAGTATGTGTGTGTTGTTGTTTCCGTTGAAACCATTTTCTAATAAATTTGAATACAATCTGGTGCTCAGAGAAAATTTCCTTTTCAACTGCATTTTCTACTCACTTAAATCACCCTTTTTCATAATACTATATAATAATCGATTCTTAAGCGAACGTTTCACCTTCCCTCCCTAACACTTCAAAACGATTTTCTATAACAAGAATAACAATGTAATGAACAGCTGTTTGTAGAATTTGTGTGCTGTATTTTTTATGTTTATGTTTTTTAACCTAAAAACCTTTTCATCCATTATTTAATCCATAATACTTGTACTCGTCGTATTCAACTTCAGCATTCATATTTGCTGCTACTGCAACTTTTATTTGTTTAGAGAAGAAACCAACAAAGAACGCCAAAAATGTTAAAATATGTACAACTAAACTGAGTGCTTCTGAATAATGAAATTTAGTATAAATTTCACACAAACGTACGAACGAAAAGACATACATACATACATATGTATGTATATGCATGCATATTGTATGGATGTATGGAAAGTCTGTCTATATTTTTTCGATTTTTTAATATTCACACAAACCAACCGACAAGAAGTGAAACTAAAAAAGAAGAAGAAATATTAAATGTAGAAGACGACAAAGATGTATTGGGAAGCAAAAAACCCTTCTTCTTCTGCAATTTCTAAATTACACTCGATTGGTCTGGGATGGGATGGGCAGGGCTGGGTTTGGTTGGGCAGGGTGTATTGGGGCGAATATATAGTAATTGTATACGGTGACGAGTTGTGTGTATGATACTTTCTGCTCGTTTTCATTTAATGCTAAAAAACGTGGTTAACAATTTTCAATTTTCATGGCTGAGGTTAAGGTACAATAAAAATATTGGTCGTTTGGTTGGTATTAACGTCATAGTAAAAAATGCCAATGTCACATTCTCGCCGTCAATGTAAAGAAACATGTAGACACATAAAAACACGTAATAGAACGCGCTTTCAAAACGGATCAAATCTTTTCTTCTTCAATATAAATGAATCAAAGCGTGACGGAAATCGAGTAAAATCAGAACGAATTTATGCGTAAATAAAAAACGGCAAATATTTATTCAACAAAGGTTGAAAAACCTCCATTTAATCCGCGTTTCATTTGGATTGGTGTCATTCAGTAATTGGATACAGTACTATCAACTATAATCATTCAAAAATATTAATTTTAAAAACTTTAATTGTGGTTCTTGGAAAGTCGCTGAGAAAAACATTAAATTAGTGTGTGTTATAGGGGATTAAACGGATTTTAATGACCAGTCTACTAAGCATTTTAACGCCTTAAAAGAACATATTCTTAACCCTTTTCTTAACATATGTTTGTTTACATTCATACTTTTCAAAAAGATCATAAAAATATGATCAGGTATATTTTGTTCGGTATAAATTTTGCGCTGAATGAATTACTTTTTTTTTACCTGTAAGAGTAAATGCGAGTGGCTGTGTTTCTTTAATAAATAAACGGAATTTCCATAAACATTTTATAGAAATAATTTTAGTTGTACCAATTCATAATTTCCCGGAGTGAATAAATTTTCTATTTGGAATATCAGTTTAACTAATTTTTATAAAATGATGTGATGAGATCGCAAAGTTTTACATAATATGTGCTACTAAAATTTGGAATATAAATGTTCGTAATAAATTTAAACCACCCAATTTATATATTTCGTATAAATTTCGCTTTCCAGTGCAATAAAAGTTTGTATAAAACTTGAATGTGATTAAAATAACGAGAATTTCATTTTCTTTTTTTAAGGAATAATAATTGTGTGTTCAATCACCACAATTTTATGTAAAAGTAAAAGCTGAATTGCATATTCTTTTACATATTTATAAATCGTTTAACCAATTTTTCTTCTATGCGACACATTCCTGTTTTTTATACACAAATATCTATAACATTGCAATTATTTTTCGAGAGTTATTGATAAATATTTAAACTAAATTGTCGACTAGGCTACCCACTGGCTACCGATACCCTATTCCGCCCAAGATCATCTACAACTTCCAATCAACTCGAAAACACCTCATTTCCAACTGTACGATATACCCAATAGTTCCAGAAATATTGAATTTTTTTTCCAAAAACAAAAGTTTGTAATCCACTGTGCCATGTTTCATTCATACATTATTGTTCATTTCCCTATCGTGCTTTCAAATCACAATATGCCTAAATTGTTTATTTTTTTAAACAATGAGGAAGAAGATCAATTTGAATTAAAATTCTTATTGATACATACATACATATGTATGTAGGTATTTTATAAAAAGAAAATATTAAAATTTTTAAGATATACTTTAAAATTTGTTATCAATGTTTCACTTGAAAATTCGTCGGTTTTAATAAAATTTTAACAATATTTTTTCGAAAGATAAACTTTTTTCAAAATTTATCCAACTATTAAAGTTTACTATTAATATTATTTATTAATGAAAATCAAACAACTTACTAAAAAGGTTTTGATATGTATAAAATTAGTTAAAGAGCGCTAGCAACATCATCATGAAATCATCATGATTACTATAATGACAAATTGAAAAGGTAGAATGATTTATGTGAAATAATTAAGCAAACACTGTTGGAAAAATTACAATACATAGGTATTGTCGGTATGCAAAAGATGAGATGAAAATTACATAAGTTTACAATGATTTTGCCTTGCCCATGATATAAAATCTATATGGATTTCTTTATTTAGGCCGCACAGTGGACCATTCAACGAGATGGCAATCAAAAATTCATTGGTTTGGAATATTTAGGCCCGGTTATTTTTTTTGTTTGGTGGTAGGACTTTGGACTTCAATTCCATAAAACTTAAAAATCGGCCCATTAGAAAAAAAGATGTGGAGGATTAAAGTTAACTTTTTCGTTTATAGTTGAATTTTAATATAAACTATAGTTTTGTTTTTTGTTTCTTATGAAATGTGTTATTTTTCTAGTTCTTAATTTGCAGCTAATAAGTATTTAACAATATTTAAGTTTAATATTGTCAGAAAATGGCAAACATTGGCCCTCCTAATATTCACAGGGGTCAAAGGTTGAGTTTTTTTTAAACAGATATGTTTTTATGTGTAACCCCGCCCTCTATTAGTGTTCCGCCCATTTTAGTCTTAAATATTTATATTGATATTAAAGTTACTCATGAAAAATGTGATAACTGTAGATGTTATAGTTTCCCAGATAAACTAATATTAGTATCTTATTCATATGGGATATGCCACGCCCACTATATTTGGTACTTCTATGACCTAAATATTTATATTAATACTCCAGCAGATATATACATTTTGGTATTTAATTTATATAAGAGGTGGCACTCCCACTACTGATAGTTTGTACATTTTCCCCTAATGTCAAAGTTAACCGTGCAAAATTTAAGGACTATAGTTGTTACAGCTTTCCAGATATCCAGTTATTCTCAAAAATAAGTATACAGAAATACTGACAATTGGTTTTATTTAAAAAAGGATATTATTTTTTCAAAAAACAAAAAGTAACATATTTATTTATTAAAAACAATTATGATAATTATTATTCACTACTTTTTTCCGTGTTATTTTAGTTACTTGAGTTCTCATTTAAGGTGTAGTTAAATAGGTACAAAATTTACGTCACAAAAGTAAGTATACAGATAATTTCAATATGTATTTGGCTTAATGATATTAACAAAATTCATGACAATTTTACCTGTTTGAATGTAATTATTTTATAATAAAATATTCTGTACTCTATAACATTGACAAAATTCACTTTTTGTTCCGAAAAATTGAAATTTTTGGTAATTGATCTGAATAATATTTATAGGAGCATTTTTGCCTATTTAAGAACATTAAACCCCCGGAGTTTTGGATCGGGTATTCAATAATATCCCTCGTTTGTTCATTATGATGCATTGGAAGACGATATTTTAACTTTTAAATTAATTGTTTCTTTACAATAATTACAATCCATTGCGGAACATTGCCGTTTTTAACATAGTATAGCGTTCATATTCGATATTTAACGGCGATTTCCTAAAATTTATATCTTAAAATGCGATATTAATAATACTTGCACTAGTATCCATTAATTAAAACAAAGTTTTTTGGTTCCAATCATCCATTACACACTCCTAAATACTACCAATAATCGTCAAATGGTGACCATGTCAATAACTTACACTACATATCGGTTCTGAAATTGATTATTGTCCAAAATAGTAAGATTTTTATATTAAATCAGGATCAATTGGTGGTATGAATACGAATTGAACAATTTTGAACACGGATACATCTTAATTTGTTGCTAGAACAAATAAAATGTCCGATCCATAAAACATGCTTATTGTATCGAGTATATCAAGATATGATTGGTATCATTATTGTATGCTTTGGAAATCGGAGTATTTGGAAAACCTGTTTAAATTAAAGAAAATATATAGAATTAT